CCTAAGGACTATGCATTGACTAATTTCTATGGACTGTTACCTATGGAATATTCTTTATGAACTTCTTTTCTTGGAATACTCCATATGGACTATGCTCTTGTAATTTTCTAAGGACTATGGGACATATAATGGATTTTTACTTTTGTTTAGGGATTTTTGTTCTGCAGGATCACTGAGGACTATAGCCTTTTTATAACCTACTTGGATTATTTTGTTTTTACTAATGATTTCCTGGACTGGAACTGTTTTTATTCTTTTTAATGGCTTTTTGTGTTTTTGTAAGGTTTTTGAACTCTTTTATATTTTTCATGTTTTCTTTGCCTCACTACATCTGTGTAACTAAACAGCACAATGCTAGTTTATTTGTTTTGGTTTAATTTGGCTTTGATACCTAGTAACATGCTTTTTCTTTAATAAAATAAAGATTATAAAACTCAATTGGTTTTCTGAACAGTACACTTGCCATAGGGTCATCTGAGAGTGCTGCCTCGGCCTAGCTTACTTGGAGTCCTGTCAGTGGTGCAAGCTAAGTCTAAGGACTACAAAGCCCACTTGACCTTTTCATAATAATATCTGAGAGTACCAGGGTGTTCTTATGTGGGCAGACCTGTGAGAGTGTTGTAGCATGGCTAGCTGAATTTGGACTCATTCAGCCCATTTTAGCATGTGCAAACTCCTGATTGCTCTCTGTCCAGGCTTACACGTGTGTTCTTGGACCCGTGTTTGCCGACATAATATTCCAAAATGTCTATTGTTGATCTTATATTTGATGTGAGTTTCTGTTTGGGGATGAAGCCTGTTTGATCATTATATATCATTTCAGTAAGTATCTTCTTTAATCTGGTTGCCCAGATGGTCGCATATACAGTGGTGCCCCGCATAGCGACATTAATCCGTTCCGGATTAATCGTCGCTATCCGGAAACATCGCAATGCAGGCGGGAAAACCCCATAGAAACGCATTAAACTTTCCTATGGGGCGAAAACTCACCGTTATGCGAAGATCCTCCATAGTTCCGCCATTTTCGCCGCCTCGGTAAGCGAGGAAACCGCGTGAAAATGGTTGCGGTGGCCATTTTGGGCACCCGGCGGCCATTTTGGAACCGCTGATCAGCTGTTTTAGAAACATCGCAATGCAAAGATCGGTAAGCGAAATGCTTACCGATCATCACAATACGATGTTTTGCCCATTAAAACATTGCAGTGCGTTCACATTAGCGATCTCAAAAAATAGATCGCTATGCGGATTTGTCGTTAAACGTTGCACTCGTTATGCGAGGCACCACTGTAACTGTTAGAGCAGTACGACAGTGGAACCAAATACTTTGCGAGGTGGTGAGTGTGGGAAGTTTTTAGTTTTAGAGTTCTATCTTGTGGCATAATTAAGTATTGTTCTGTGGTGCTTGGTATAATGAAGAATGTTATTCCTTCTCTGCGCAACTGTGGAATGTCCTAAAATAGATTGTTACTCTACGCCTGTTTGGTCAGAATCTTATCTTTATACAAATGATGGTACATAATAAAAAGACATGCCTCGGGGAAGAAGGTAGACATTTTTCCAGGAAGACATTTTTCCTGGAGGACATTTTTCACCAGTGGCATGATTGGTAACTAAACGACTGTAGTCTGTCTTCATTTCTCAGAGATCTCTCCCTGATTTTCATGCAACTGCTGCTTGGGCTGGCTTCCAAGCAGTGGTTCCCTGGCAATTTTCCCACAGGTGAGTGCTGCAACACTGGAGACATTCAAGAGAGATAACCACCTGGCAGATATGCTTTGATTGTATTCCTGCATTGAGCAGGGGGTTGGACTTGATGGCCTTCCAACTTCACTTTTCTATGTTCTATGATAAGTATATAAATACAATAGTAACAACGACTAATAATGTATAGAATTTTTAAATGTTTGAAGTGAGATTGTTTCAGGAATTTTCAAAAAGTGGTATGCTTGTTCATTGCCACCTAGAGTGGTCGTTTTCACCAGATAGGCGGGGTACAAATTGAATGAATGAATGAATGAATGAACGAATTGCTAATTATGTTGTTCTGGAATATCACAATGCCTAAATAACAAAATTTGGTTTGTAAGTTTGTGTTTTGTGTTGATTTTGTCCAGGTCTGTATGAAGTAACGCCCCGTTCCTGTCACCGTTTTGAACATGAGTACTACACCTATGACACGTAAGCACAAGGTGGTAGCTGGCATAGCTTGTGAAATACATCAGTGGCATGTTTTTGTCCGAATTTTAAGCTGGTTATGATCCCTTCAAGAAGTTACTGTACAGAGACAGTGTGAGAGCCGCCTTTCTCTGGGTTCTATTCTAGTTTGCTGCTGTCTTGTTTGAAGGCTGGATGTGCTTATTATTGTTATTTATTATTATTTATTTAATTTCTATGCTGCCCACACCATCCAAAGGTCTCTGGGCAGCTTAGTTAGGGTCAGTTACGTGGTTCTTTTCAGTAAGATTTATTGTGATCAATGACCAGCACAGATTCCTTCTGTTTTAGTTCTTCCTTTCTTTATCTAAGCCTGCCTTCCTTTCCACTGGTCTCAAGGCCATGTACCTGCCCCTCTGTTCCTGTTCCTGCTTCTCACTGTATCCTCACAGCAACCTAATGAAGTGGGACAGACTGAGGCTTTCATAAGGTCACCCACTAATCTTGAACATGGATCTTATACATTCTGATATGACACTCTAACCGTCATAACAGAGTGGTTCTCAGCCTAATTCTCTTTCTTGATCTTTGCTGTATGATGACTGTATGTGAGGGACTTGGGTGTTCAGTCACAAGAAATATAGGAAGGCTTATACGAGATCAGAACAGTGGTCTGTCTAGCCTCAGTCTGTCTCCATTGACTAGCCTTGGATCTCAGGGCTTCAGCCAGGAATCTTTTATAGCCCTATTGGCAGGCTCCAGGTTGAACCTTCGACCTTCTATAACCAAAAAGCATTTACTCTACTACTGAATGGCAGCCAGCCCCTGCCTAAAACAGCAATAAGAAGCTGCCTTATGCTCGGTCATATTATAGGATCACCTTGCTCTGCACCATGACATGGACTGAAGCTCTATTGGGTTTAAGAAAGTAGGGTTTGGTTCTCCCATGCTGTGGGGGGGGGCACAGTTTATGTGTGAATTTGAAATACAGTGGTGCCTCGCTTAACGATTTTAATTGGTTCCAAAAAAAACATCGCTATGTGAAAACATTGTTAAGCGAAACACCATTTCCCATAGAGATGCATTGAAAACCGGATAATCCGTTCCAATTGGAATGGATTACCATCCTTAAGCGAAAATCCCCATAGGAAAAAACGTTAAGCGAAACCCATTGAAATGCATTGAAGCCTATTTCAATGGGGGGAAAAAATTCACAAAAAATTCAGAAAGACTCAGAACAAAGCCAAATTAAGTTAATGAAGGTTTTATTAGGTGCACTAACGATTCCAAGCATTTTAAACATTTTTTAAACATTTTAGAATATTTAAAAAATAGCAAAAACGGGGCTGTAAAAAAAAACGTTAAGCGAAACAAGGGGACCTAAAACTGTCATCGTTAAGTGAAGCATGGTCCCAAAATCGTTAAGCGAAAATCGCCCATAGGGAAAATAGTTAAGTAAAGCACAAGATCACTCCGAAAAAGCCATCGTTAAGTGAATTTTTCGTTATACGAAGCAATCGTTAAGCGAGGCACCACTGTAATATGATAAAAAGTCACAGCCAACATTTCTAGGATTATATAATGTTGCCTTCTGTGAAGTCAGATCATTAATTTGCCTAATTCAGTACATTGATAGGCAGCAGTTCTCCAGGTTTCAAGCAGGATTTTTTTCAGCCCTATGTGGAGATGCCATGTGAATGTAGTGGGTAGACCTAGAACTCAAGTCCGACTTAGCCATGGAAAGTCAAAGGAGGGTGGCATGCCTTAAACATTTTTTTTAAAGTCTGCAAAAAAATCAGAGAGCAACAGAAAGACAGATGCTAAATATCAGACTAATCAATAAAGAAATTGGGTTATTTGGCAGAAGACAAAGAATATGTGGAAAGAACAAATAGCGTCATTAAAATGGAGATGGGCAGATCCCATCATAAGGCAAATAGATGAGTGATGGAATGAATACATCAGTGATAGCTGTGGATTGGATGGAGTCAGGGAAGATTGCAAAGTAGGATGAATTTGAAAGATCAGCAAGACTGGATGCAAAAATGGGGAGGCATCAGTAGGCTAATAAAATAGAAGAAGAAACATCTGACATATCTTGAAACCCCTATTACGGTTGCTGTAAGGTGGATATGAGTTGATGTCACTTAACACACACCTGTAGAGATCCTGGAGTGTGTCTGGGTTCTCCTCCTGCAGAGCAGGTAATTGACCACAGTCCTATTCACCTAGTTCAATGACTGGCTTGCCCTCTTGGATCAGAACAAGCTTCTTATACTCTTAATGGGAGTCTTTCTCAGCCCTCCTTGGATATGGTGCAAATTGAATTGAATGTCCTTTTTGCAGTCAAAGCAGATGGCCCTTCCTGGTGGCAGGTTTTTAAATGTTTAAGCAACACTGTCAGCAAGCTCTTGGTGGTTGATTCCTGCAATGCATCTATAGCTTGTCACCTAAATGTGTTCTTTAGTGGAATCCGACTTTGTCTAGCTGCTTTTATGACCAGTTGAGGGAGGGTGTCACAGTGATTTCTAAAAATGCTCATCAGATCCATCTTCATGGAGTGCACCAAAGGAAAAAAAATCCTAGTTAATAGGAGTTTAGAATAAGTGATTTCAGACTGTTGTGATTGCCAAACTGATTTATCTACAGTGCTGAATGTCATGATCAAGAGTATGTGCTTTAAGGCATGTAGTCTGGATGGTTTATGTAGTTATGAGAAATATAATATGGATTCAAAATGGTTCTGTGTAAGGTTGATTTTAAGTGCTGGGAATGTTTTCTGAAGAGGCCGTGAGAAGTGGTAAGAATGTTTTTCTGGAGCCTGGCTGGCAAGGACAAGATAAGGAGTGAAGTCACAACATTTCAGCTTAATCGGGAAGAAGACTGGAAGGGCAAAACAACACCTGGATTCTCATGAGAAAAAGAGGTGGAGAAAGACATTACCACCCATGAATTACAATTGGTCAACACCTGGGGGGGGATGAAGAAGAAGGGTGGGGTTTAACAAGTAGAAAAATAGAGATTTTGCCATGTGGAGGGTTCCTTAGTCTAGAAAGGCTTTGGTTCCATTTTATCTCTTTTCCTTATGTTAAGATGAAGGGGGTGAGAATGTAGGAACGACAGAAAGAAGAAGGAGGGCTTACACCCTTTGCCTACCCTGAAGAAAGCTTTTTAGGAGTGTTAGCTACTTTTTACTTAGCTGGAATTTGTTATTCATTAATTGCAGTGATCTTTGGAAATGTAATCTATGCTATGCTTTGCTACAAACTGAATTTTCTATGAAACTGTATTTTTTCAATAAAAAATTAATGTTAAAAATCATGAGCATCAGTCTCTTGAACAGCGAGTCTGCTGAGCCGGCTTCCAGGGGGAGTTAAGGTCACACGATAGCTACTAAACAGAGTCCTACTTTTTTGAGCTTTAGTGAGTCTTAAGGGACTACAAAGCCCAAGTGTCTGTAGTTGCTAGATACAAGTAAGTGCAAGAGTGAACCTTTTAGGCCAGACTTGCTGTAAAGGATCTGTGCTACGCCCTAGCTGATGGTTAATAGGACTCAACCCAGCTGAAAAGGGGTACATAAATACCTGGGGGCTCTCTGGTCGAAGGCTCAGCGCTCCCTAGTGGGAGGCTGGTCCTGACACTGAAAAACCTGGTAAATGAGTAGAGGAATGAAGCCTTGAAGTAATTAATACTTGTGGATATTGTAGCTATTAGTGGGATCTTCCTGGATTATTATCCCCAGACTCGCTCTGTGCTAATTATGTTCTTTCTGCTCACCTCCTTTTGTCTGTGAAAGAAGTTCCCCTTGTCTAACCTGCTTAGACTCGCTTAAGACACAGCTCACAGCACTGAGCTGTGGTTATAGAAGCTTAACTGGAGTTTACTGTGATGTCTGAATTGAGAAGACCATGGTTTCTTGTACAGCTGGCAGAAAATCAGTAGGATTTGATATGTGTCCAAATTGACAAACCATTGTTTATAGCCATCTTCAGAGGCAGCTAGATCACAGACTGAATATATGAAGCTATGATGATGGGAAATATGTGCAGATAAGCTGTGTCAAGCCATGGGTCCTGTTATCTTTCCCCTAAACCCTACTGCTGAAAAGGCAAGCTGCTTTCCTGATTTTGACATCAAAAAGTCACTTGCCTTTTAAGCAGGTATAAACTTTTGAGAAATCTCTAATTCCTCATCTAGCTTTTACTTCTGTTTCCACTCGTGTGAGAACCACAGGGCTGAGCACATGGGACTGCTGATAATTCAGAACTGTTTGTGTTTTTATTCTGGAATTTAACATCATGAAATAGAAGGCAAAGAAGTTATTTTTAATGCCCTCTTTTGAAACGTGTTTTCTTTCCCAGGTCTGCTCCCAGTATCTTGACACTGACTGCAATTCGACACCATGTCCTTGGAACTATAACAGCAGATAAATTGATGGATGTGATGGTCACCATTAAGTAAGAACATGTCTAAATTTTCCTGATGGCATAGTCTTTTTGAGAAGGACCACCAAATATCTAGATTGTGCAAAAGATGTAACATTTTCTCCTTGTGTAATTTAAGCAGTATGCTGCAGGGACGTCAAGGCTCTCAGTGCTGCATATTGCCATTGCAGCCACGCACGGAATTCTTGAGCCCAGGGAGCTTATATCAGTCAGGCAGTGAGCATCAATGTAACCTAAACGGAGCCCTCCAGCTGTTGTGGGACACCAACTTCCATTGACCCTAAGCAGCTAAGCCAGGGGCAAGAGATGAAGAGCTCAAGGTGGGATTAAAAAAAAATGGACTACATAATTCTTCATTCTGAGAGTTCTTCTTGACAGACAGCCACCTTACAGCCTCCTAAATGTGTCTCACCTGGAAGAAAGGCTGAGCTTTGAGAACTACCTAGGCCTAACTTCGCCTAGGTTCCTGTACAGAAATAATGGGCAGGAGCAGGAAACGTGGGTGAGCTAGGTGGCCTCAGAATCTTAGGGATGTCTAATTTAGGTGTCTATCAGGTATCCACCTGTCGGAACTCACAGCATGCAGAATTATAGGATTTGTAGTCCAAAGGGTCTGAAAATCCCATCCAGCTTTGACTCTGAATAGTTCATCAGTAGAAGTAATGAAATGAGCCTTGCCACCTATATTAGACTTTAGAAATAGAGATAACAACAAAGTGGGACACAGTAAGGGGTGGTGGGGAAGGTAACCTTCAGTGGAATTTTGTTAGGAAGGATTATGAGTTCCCTTTGGTTCTGAGATTCAAAAGAATGTTGGGTTCACAATCCTTTAAGCTGCCTAGAGTGGGCATATTGACTAGATAGGCGGGGTACAAATTAAATAAATAAATAAATAAATAAATAAAATAAAATAAAATAAAAATTTAATGCCAGGGTTACTTTAGTGTCAGGGGTGTTCTTGGTATCTGCGTACTAGTAGTGAACAGATGGAAAAGCAAAAGTATGAGACAAAAATTATATTTATGCCTAAAACGTTTGCTATCAGCAAGTAAAGAGGGATTTATTTTAGCTTGTACAAAAACTGGGAAATCACCAAATGAAGGGAAATGGGACTTGGCTGCTTGTACTTTTGGGACCTAGAAGGACTGGTCATTCCCCACCCCAACTTTAATGCAAAGTTTATGTCCTTTGCACCTGGTAGATTGGGATTCTCAGGTGGTGCCAGCAGGAATCCAGAAGGTATGGGCTATTTACACTGGCACCCAGAGAGAGGCAGGGAATCGCCAAACCCAAAGCTTTCTTGGCCATGTGCTTTCTCTGGCCTCTCCTTCCAGTGTTCTTTCCTTGCCTTGCTCACAACAGAGATAACTTCTGAAACTCTCCTTCTGTCACAGCTTTGTGAATCTCTAGGTTTTTAATCTTTCTTCACTTACTTTGTTTTTTGTACTTGTGTCTTGCATTTCTCTTCACCTCCTTAATGGAGTCCGGTAAGGAAAGAAATGCTTCCATAGTTACATCCCAATGCAGCAAAGCAAACATTGGCCATAAAACAATAGAGGGAGGCCATGGTGTTCTGTCTTCTGGACCACAGAAAGTGATTGCCTGCCCACTAGGTCTAACAGCTACTTTGTGCACCCAAAAGAAGTGTCTGAGCACTCTGTCCCAAACATACGGTTGGGCAGCCTGTGGACCCCCATTCTGGTCAATCTCCAGCAGCCACACAGATGTTGAAAGAGTGATCAGAGTGGTTCAGATATAAGATTCTCTGCTGTTGCTGTGACACCAACAAAACAAACATGGGGGTAGCTTTTTGAACATTTCTCCAGCATTATTGTGCACCACTGTGCCTGTGGCTTGCAGGTGTGCAGTGAAAGAGATTCCATGTCTTCGTTTTACCCCCCCTCAGATCCTCAATTGACAGTGAACCTGACTTGGTTCTTGGCCCACTGAAATCCCAGCAAGAGCAGCGTCGGGAGCAGCAGCTGGCTGAAATCGAGGCCCGTAGGCAGGAGAGGGAAAAGAAGGGTGTAGAGGAAGAAGGGTCTGAGCCCCCCGTGCAGGAAATGGTGGAGGAACTACAAGGGCCATTTCACTACGAGTTCTCATACTGGGCAAGGTATGTTTATCTGTTGCTTGAAGGTATTGCATTGCATTTTTCAGGGAAGATCTGAGCAACTTATATCAAGGGTGAGCTGTTGCAACCATCTAGAAGTTGTTGGATTGTAGTTTGTTTTTGCCATAGCCAGCTTAGTCATTGAGATGGGATGATAGGGTTTGCAGTCCAGCATCATCTGGAGAGCCACAAATGACCCACCTTTGGGACTAAATCCCATCTTATCATTCTTGACAAACTTCTGTGTAATTTTTGTTTCAGGTCTGGGGAGAAGATCACAGTAACACCATCCTCAAAAGAGCTCCTTTTCTATCCCCCTTCAGTAGAAACAGTCATCAATGGAGGTAAATCTTGGTAGCAGCCTTGCAGTGAGGTCACAGATGATCCCCATATCATATCATGCCTTTGTATCTGGAAAGTCTACTATTCAGTTATTGAGTGCCTGGAATATCCAGCTAAAAGAAAGGTCTGGCTGACAGCCACTGTTGGTTAGAGTGGACAGTACTGACTTAAGTGGAGAAATAAATTTTAATTTGCTTTAAACTGCTTCACATGATCATAGATTATGACACAACTGGGAAATATGCAGCTTCCAGATGTCATGGGACCTGGACTGTCATCAGCCTAAGAGTCTATAGTCAGCGTCGAGGGTGAGAGTTGTACGTAATGTGGCAAAGTTTTCGAGGGACTTGTGTTAGAATGCTGCCCCCTTATGGGGAAGGCTATAACTCAGATTTCAGGGACTGGGTAGCATAAACATAGGTCAATCCTATTCAGACTTACACTCTCTGAGTATGTTTGTATTGTGGCTCAACTCATCACCAGTTAGCATAACCGAAAATGACAGCTTTGTCATCCTGAGTTTTCAACATGGGGCCAGGTGGGAAAAGGCTGCTGTAGCTTAGTTACAGTTTTATCCTGTCTTTTCCCCTTCCCCTGTAAGTTCAGGCTGGTGTATGTGGTTCCTCGCTCCCTTGCCTCCTAACGACTACCTTGTGAGGTATGCAAGGTGGAGAGAATGTAACTAACTGGTCAAGGTCACCGCATGAGTTTCATGGCTCCGTGGAGACTCAAACCAGTCGTAAAAGTGTTTTAAAGCTTCTTTTCTTCTCTGCCAATTTTTCAATTGTCTCTGGACAATTGAAAAAGAATAAAAATGGAGAGAGAACCGAATCACACTTGCAGTACATTTGCAAATAAGATAGTGAGGTTTATTGAAAAGACATAGAAAAAGTCTTGCAACACTGGAAAGCTAGAGTCTCACAACCAAATACAAGCTTCTCAAAAGGTACAGAAAGTGCATACATACTATATACTAGGTATCTTCCCAAAACAAAGCTGGTTATGTAATGCTGGTGACAGCAGAACGACAAGTCCCAATTTTCCCAAAGCAGTCCTGAGCTAGAGTTACATATATGTTCTGATATTGTTACTGTTGTTACTTGTGCCAGGAGTATAACCTTGGTCTAGCCTCGGGACTGTGGCATCCTTTAACGGAGACCAAGGCATCTTTTCACATACATTTGTAGTATATTGCAATGCTGACATAGCTCTTATCTTGGAAGAGTTGTTACTTCTCCTTTGCCAGCTTCTAGGCACTGACTTTAGGTTCAGACTTTCTTGTGTCCTGGTACATTTGCTCATGCTGTAATTTTTGAACCTTTTATCTCTTTTGCATAGGTGAAAGAGACATTTTCCACAGCTCTAATACTTAATGTTTTGGAAGGCATTTCTTTCAGAAAATGCTGATTCTGAGTTTCTAATAAGGCTTAATTAAGGAGAAATTCATTATTGGAAAGAAGGGGATCAATGTATTTTCTAATTTTCTTAACAAACCTGGCTTTCCCAAGTTCTTCATACCCTAGCCAACCCCACAGGCTCACAGTCGATTGGACTTTGCAGTTCTAGTAAAGAACAAAGTAAGTCTTGAAAATCTAAAATGTGATCAGCCCTGCTATTGGGCAGTGTGGAATCTTTATTGAATCACAGCTGACACTTCCATTCTTTCTTCTGTCCTTTCCTCTCATTAAGAAAGCTGTCCTGGGAAGCTGATAGAAATCCATGGAAAGGCGGGTTTATTCCTGGAAGGAACAATTCATCCTGAATTGGAGGGCGTTGAGATAATCATTAATGAAAAGGGAGCACCATCTCCTCTTATCACGGTTTTCACTGATGACAAAGGTTCCTATAGGTAAAATGTTGTGAACAAAGTCTTCCATTGGTTGGCTCTCGAGAGGCTGTAGTATAAGGGGAAAGGAAGGTTTTCATAGGTTTGCCTTCCATCTACATCCCCACCACCATGCTCTTGTGCACTTATTAAGGCACCCCACCCTCTGCAGTGTGCCCCTGTGGACTGTGGTGGGAAGGAATGGATAGGGAATTCTCATACTGAGAGCAGGTTTATTATTGTAGTTACAGGCACTCCTCAGTTAACAATCTACCTGTTTAGCAACCGCTCAGATTTATGACCCTTGTAAATGCATGCTTGAGTCTTCACCACACCCCTTCTCCACAGCAGGTTATTTACTCACATATTGACTGATTCTCTTAACAACCTGATCGTAGGAACAGAGCTTGGTCATTTAAGTGAGGAATGCCTGTATATTATTTATTTAAAAATGAAGTTCATGTACTGCTGCAAAACTGAAAAATGTATCAGGAGTAGCTTGTGAGTCAGTTAAAAAAACTGGCTGGCATGGCACAAAAGGAAAAGGGTGTGGGGAGGGCAAAGGAAAATAAGACAGGTGCAGCTTCCCGAAGTTCTGCAGCCTGATGGAACAGCAGCTGGATGAAACTTGAGTGGAAGGCAAAGCACAATGGAACGTAGCTAATGGAACGTAGGAGGACTTGTTTCCTTCTCTTTCAGTTCCTCACCCTGAGGTTGGCGCCCAGTCTTCTGGGATTGCCTTACCGTCACCTATAAACAAAAAGCCCCCAAAGGGAGGGTATGTATAGGGCTGAAGGAGAAGGCTCAGTTCTGGCCGATGACCCTGACCTTTTTCAGTGTTTGCTTTAAAATAGTAAAATTGGTAAATTCCTGTGGACACCACTGTCTCCTCCCTAGAGTCAGTTTAAAATATCACTCTGATTTAATTTCTGCTTCCCTCAAGCAAACTGCCCAAAGTGGCCACAATAAATATTTATTTAGCTTTTTTTGAAAATGTGTTGCATTTGTATTTATTCTGTTTATTATGTGTAAGACATACACACACAGCTTAAAATAAAATGCAGAACACAATTGTAGCCAACACTGAGCCAGGTGTAAACTCATAGTTTCACAGAGGTCAAAGAATACCTCAGTGTATTCTTTGTAGTGGCAGGTATGGGGAAGACTTTCATGGTTGGGGAATTCAACGAAAGATTCTGGGGAGGCAAGAATGTAGGTAGGTAGTATGTTGAGGCAGATATATGTAGCTTTTTGGGCTTCCTGGGATGTTGCTATGGTGACATTGCCCAGGGAGAGGAGAACTTGTGGACTTTCAGGTGTTGAAATGAATTGCCCACCAGCCACAGCTAGTGTATCCTCTGATGAGAGATGATGAGAGGGTGTAACTTTCCCATTCCTGCCTCAGTCTTTTGTCTAACACTGAGTTTTAAGTGTTGTAGCTATTATTCACTTTGTACCTCAAGCCTGAAAAAATGTCTTTCAGATTAATTAGAAGGCCCTTTCTCCTTTCTGTTTCTGAAGTGTGGGGCCACTGCACAGTGACCTAGAATATACGATTACTGCTCAAAAAGAAGGTTTTGTCTTGAGTGCTGTGGAAGGGACAGTTGGAGATTTTAAAGCCTTTGCTCTTGCCGGAGTCACCTTTGAGGTAAGACTCTCCATGCCCCCCAGGACATCAGCATTGTTTTATTTCTTATGTAGAAAATTTGAATCGGCCATTAAGAGGGAAAGGAAAAAATGGAGGAAAAAACAATAGAAATCTTGGTGCAGGAGATCAACATGTTTACAGTGGCAAATGTTTATGGAAGGGCAGCCTGCTCTTGTCCCTCCCAAAAATGCAATAGTTCTCTGGCCTTGGTGAATCTCCAGTTGTCTGAAGGCAAAGCAGCTGTGCCTTGGGAATGCAGTTGCCAACTGCTAAATGCCCCCCATAGGCAATTAAATACAGTGGTGCCTCGTATAACGAGCGCCCCGTTTAACGACGAATCCGCATAACGATGCGGATTTTGCGATCGCAAAAGCGATCGCATTACGATGTCTCCCCATAGGCACCATTTCCCCCAGCTGACCAGCGGGCACTTCGGAGCGATCGCGGGGGAGACCTCTCCCGCGACCGCTCTGAAGCCAGCGCCGCCCAGCTGGGGGGAAATGCTGGCAGTGGCTTCCGAAGGACTGTGGGGGAGGGCTCCCCCGCGGTCCTTTAGAAGCCACCGCCACTCAGCTGGGGGAAAATTCTGCCCCATCCACCCGAGCCGGGCTAAAATGCGGGCTTCGGGTGGATGGGCGGGGGAGGAGGGATTCCCCCTTCATCCACCCCAGCCGCGCGAAAATGCGGGCTTCGGGTGGATGGGGGGGAGGAGGGATCCCCCCCCCAATCCACCCAAGCTGGGCGAAAGGAGGGGGGAAGCCGGGCTGGCTAGCTGGCAGTGCTTTGCCATGATCAGTTCCCTGCTTGGGGAACTGATCATTGCAAAGCAATGCTTAACAGCTGATCGGCGGGTTCAAAATGGCCGCCCGCTGTTTTACCTTGCTTAAGAGGCACAGAAAATGGCCGCCCCTATGGAGGATCTTCGCTGAATGGGGAGTTTTCAGTCCATTGGAACGCATTAACTGGGTTTTAATGCGTTTCAATGGGCTTTTTTATTTCGCTTTACGATGTTTCCGTATAGCGACGTTAATCCTGGAACAGATTAACATCGCTATGCGGGGCACCACTGTAGTTCACTCTAATTAAGCAGCTGATCGTTCCAAAAGCCAAAGTTTAAGGGAAATCTACAGCTGGATTTTTCCATTGTGCCATGGTCTAGCACCAAGGATGCTCAGAGACAGCAGTTCTCAGTCTTCTACATTTTATTGAAATGCTTCCTTGACAGTGAGGAACAGGCCTGCTAGCCAGATTGCCTGCTCCTCAGATTCTCATCATTTAGAATAAGCCAGTTCCTGCATAATAAGATACTGCCATATAAGAAAGCCAGATGTGATACCTAAGAGGAGATCTGGCCAGGCTGCCAAGCCGTGCAGTTGCTCCACGCGAATGCAGGGACTACATGTCGATATAGTCATTACATTAGCCATGGGTCTGAATCTCTGTTGAGGAATACTGGATCGGTCCTTGCTGTGCTGTCCAGGTCCTGAAAGGCCAGCTGGTCTGTTCCTTTTCAGAGCTACACCAGCTGGCCTTTGCTCTTTCACTACATATGATTCCATCATTAGTGGGATGAACCCTAGTGCAACATGGCTCATTTTTTCTGTTTGGTTTAAGATATTTCTCCATTATTTGTAAGAATGCTGCTTCTCATTATTCACCATGGACAAGTCATTAAATGGAAGCATAGAATTTGAAAAGACGGCCTTAGAACCTTTCGAAGCAGGAAGTATTTATTAATAATATCCTCCAGCAGAGAGTTGATTGGCAACTTTTAGTGTGGGAGAGCTTATCAGGATTACAAAGATAGCTTGTGAAGTCTTGTTGCTTCACAGAGTGGGAGCCGATTAGAAGATAGTTTGTTGTCTGTTAGTTTGTTGTCTGTTGTTTTTTTGTTCTGGTTTGTAGACCCTTCTTCTTCCAGTAGAAACACAAGTTGATCCTATATACCTGAAATCGAGACCCAGATCCCTCCAGATTTTTTGGAATTCAGTGTTTCAGAATCCCTGACTATGCTGACTGGGGCTTCCAGGGTGTTTTTGTGTGTGTTGAGTAACAAAACTGTCCTCTGGTGGGTGGGATTCTTGCCAAGAATGATGGAGAAGTTGCAGCTTTGATCCGAGCAGTGGAGTAGATTTCATGATGTTACGTATTGAATAAAATCAGCTATATGCCATTTAAAATACATTTGCTTCATGCTGCTGTTTTATTTTTTTTAACAGATCCAATCTGAAGATGACCACCCTCTTGCTGGGGTCCTCCTGTCCCTGAGTGGGGGAGTGTTCCGCTCAAACCTCCTGACTCAAGACAATGGCATGCTGACTTTTTCTAATCTGGTACAGTAGATCTCCTGTTTGCAGTTGTCTGCACATTTGTGAAGACATAACTGTTGTCAGAATATACAAAAATGGACAAAAGTTAGACTATGATCCTGTAGATCTTTAGGCAATTTGCAGTATATCATCAAGGATTTTTGTGCACAACTGAAATCTGGTCCCCCCTCTCCCACTGTACTGTGAAAAATAAACTAGCCCAGTTTATTCTGGTATATTGGGAAGCTATAGGTACCATCTGCCAGTTTTTGTAGCATCTGGCTAGGCATGGAATTTTCAGAATTCATGTACTGCAGGCCTCAGAGGTCAGGAGGAATCCACTCAGCTATATTTCTGGGGGCTTTAGTCCAAAAACAAACAATACAGAAACAAAAAGCATGGTACAGCCCTTATTGCACTCCATTTTGTTTGCTCCTCCCCCCCCAGACCACAAAGAGGCCTGCAAAACTAGAAGTGGACTTATGGGCATGCTCATTTTTTTAAAGCAGTTACCTTGATGTAGCCGTTGCTGGGTCCTAGGGATGAAATCTGGTCCCTGTATTTCCAGAACTGATCTGCCTCTGCTTTTAGGGAAATACTATACAGTGGTGCCCCGCTGGATGATTACCCCGCTTGACGACGAATCTGCTTAACGTAGCGATCACAAAACAATGTTTAGATGGGGGAATTTCACTTAACGCTGATCGGTTCCCTGTTTCGGGAACCGATTTTTTGCTTTACGACGATCAGCAAACAGCTGATTGTTGGGTTTCAAAATGGCTGCCGGCTGTAGAAAATGGCTCCCCGCTGTGTTAGGGACGGATTCCTCGCATTACAGGCACCAGAAAATGGCCGCCATATGGAGGATCTTCGCTTGGACAAACAGGTATTTCGCCCATTGGAACACATTGAACGGTTTTCAATGGGTTTTTAAAATTTCGCTTCATGACGATTTCGCTGGAATGAATTAACGTCAAGGGAGGCACCACTGTATACTAAATCACACCGTTGGACTGTTAAATCCATGCTGTTTAGAAGTAACTCCTAGTTCTAAGGTGGAGAAAGGTCTTTACCATTGTTTATTGTCTAATTTTTTTCTCTGTCGATGCTGGGATCTTCTGGATTTGGAGCATGTGCTCCATGTTCCAGCTTGACATGACTCCTTCCACTTCTAAAGGACTGCAGCACCTGCCTAATGCCATAGGATTTGTTCCAGGGAATGCTTTCCCCCCTCCATCTAGTGGCTTTCAGGTGTATTGGGCTATAGCAAGAATGTTGGCTGCAGATTTAAGAGACGTCCTAGGTTTGAGAAAGAACTTTCTTCATAGTCTCTGTGAATGCATACTATAGGGTTTATCTGCGCTTCCGCAGAGGTTTCTGGAATATTCTAGAGCTTCAACACGTGATCGCCAGGACCGCCCCCATAATACATGTGGCCCCCACGTCCTGGTGATTGCCTTCAACTGAGCTAACTACGCTTTTGCAGGTCTGTGTATCCTCTTTGCAGGTAGCAACTACTTATACTCGACCTTCACCTGCATCTCTCAATCCTCCTCAGACTCACCAAAAGAAACATACTAAACTTCATCATTCCACAACTCATCCCATACCGTCTAAACAAATTATTGACAAACCTGCCTGTTATCCACCAGAACCTCACCCTGCCACTTCTACGCTTCTATACCATCATGTTTCTCTGACATCATCTCAACAACTCTCTGATTCGCATACCTCTGACTCTTCGCCACCACAAGAATCCCCTCCTAATCTAGTCTACACCAGACTTGGATGTAGCGGATGTTAATCCTTGCCATCGGAGGATTTTTCATCCTATTCACAACTGGTCCTTCACATAGCCAAAGCTATGGACCTTGACATCCAACAGCAGGCCCAATCTGAATCGGGTAAAGTACAGTATATGAAGACATTAACGAGGACCAAACACCACCACTCCGTTTGGGGTTCATTCCGTCTTTGCTGAAACTAATCAAACAATCATGGTCCAAACCCTCCTCGGTACCAGAAATGTTTAAGAGAGTGGAAAACTTATACAAAACTCTTGGAGATAACACTGCCTTTCTTTTGAAACATCCACCTCCAAACTCTGTCATTGTCAATGCTACCCAACACAGAGCACAAAAAAATGTTGGCACTAAGGCTCACTCCCCAAGGGCTGTTGCTACCTCTACAGCCTTCCTCCAAGGAGTATGTCTCCCGGAGATCTGCAGGGCTGCTACCTGGGCAACTCCTTCCACGTTTGCCACTCACTACCGCCTAGATGTCAGGGCTAAGACAGATGCGACATTTGGCAGGGCTGTGTTCAGTTCTTCCGTGACGTCCCTCCTCCGGTAAGTCAGCTTGTTAATCACCCTACAGTGTGCATTCACAGAGATCATGAAGAAGAAAGAGAGGTTACTTATTTGTAACTTTGGTTCTTCAAGTAGTCATCTGTGACTTCACACTTCACACCCGTCCTCCCCTTTGTCTGTCTCACCTTTGCTGCAGCGGCAGACTGTTCTTAGGAACTGAGACAATCACCAGGATGGGTGGACCACTTGTATTAGGGGGGCAGTCCTGGCAATCGGGTGTTGAAGCTCTAGAATATTCTGGAAACCTCTGTGGAAATGCAGATTAAACCCTATAGTGTGAATTCACAGATGACCATCGGAGAACCAGAGTTACAAGCAAGTAACCTCTCTTTTTCAGCCTAAAACATTCCCATACAGGGGTTGGGGTTCATTTATGTGGCAGTGCTTCTTAGTTTCTGGGGCAATGATTTTGTTATTTCAGAGATAATTATTTTTGGGGGGGTTGCAGGGATGTAGCCTGCCAGAGTTAGCAGACAGCAGAAATAGCTCTTACACTCTCAGAACCTATCTAGAGGGTAGAGATAACGGGTAGAGGGAGGTATGGCGTTGGCACAGTGCCTACTCGTGTCAGAAGAACAGTGAACAGATGTTTGAAGACTGTTCACTGTTCTGACACTGTGACCAACTGCCAAAATCGAGGTAGACAGTCCAGCTGGCCCTCCACTCTGAAGTTGGTGCTGTTGAATGCCAGGTCGGTATCCAACAAATCCCAGCTTGTACAAGATCTTATTCTGGATGAGGATGCAGACCTGGCATGTATAACTGAGACCTGGATGGGTAGGGAAGGAGGGGTCCCTTTGACCCTTTCCTGCCCTCCGGGTTATACAGTGCAGCACCAGGGCAGACTGGAGGGGCGGGGGGGGAGTTGCCATTGTTTATAGAAAATCATTAGAGTTACAAGGCGCTCCTCGGTTGTGAAGCCAGGCCTGGAGGCCCTTCATGTGTGGATTGGGGCCAGGGATGGTATTGGGATCTTGCTGGGTTACCGTGCTCCTCGCGATCCAGCCACCTCCCTACCGGAGCTGGCGGACTTCGTCTCCGCGGCACTGTTGGAGTCCCCGAGACTTCTCGTCCTGGGTGACTTCAACATCCATGCGGAGGCGGAGGTATCCGGTCCAGCTCTTGAGTTCTTGGAAACCATGGGTTTCTTGAACTTGTCTCAACATGTCAATGGCCCCACACACATGGGTGGCCATGTGCTTGATCTGATTTTTTCCATCCAATGTAGCGAGCGTGGTCTGATGGTGACTGACCTTGTGTCAGTCCCCTTGTCATGGTCAGACCATCACCTGATAAAATGTAACCTCGCAATGGCGCTCCCTCCCCGCAGGGAGCTGGGACCTATTTTAATGGTCCGCCCTCGAAGGTTACTGGATCCAATGAGATTCCAGGATACCATGAGAGGGATTCCAGCGGCACTGTCTGGCGCTCCTGTCGAAGCCCTGGTTGATGGGTGGTTCTCTGCCGCTACTACTAGCTGTTGACACGATCGCACCCAAACGCCCTCTCAGGAGCAGAGCTTGGCCAGGATCCTGGTACAATCAGGATCTATGAGCGATGAAGCGAATAAGGAGACGGCTAGAGTGCATTTGGAGAAGGAAACCGACAGATTACAACAAGATAGCTGTCACGATCGCAACTAACCGTTACCTTGCTAAGGTAAAGGCTGCTAGAAGAAAGATCTCACGTTGTTGACCGGATAAGCGAAGCTTCCAACCGGCAGGCGGAACTTTTCCGTATAGTTCGCGATCTATCCGGAATTGGTCAGGGTGAAGGGCCTCCCACTAGCATCTCACCTGACCAGTTTGCAGCGTTTTTAAATCCAAAGTGGAGGCCATCCGCCTTCTTTAAATACAATGGGTCAAGCAGAGATGTCCAGCGCTACGTCCTGCCCGGTAATTCTCGATTCTTTTCAGCCTGTAACACCAGATTTGGTAGGCAAGGCGCTTGATCGCTGTCAGGCCACCACCTCTTCTCTCGACCCTTGCCCGCCCTGGCTAATCAAAGCAGCCAGGCTGGTAACAACTGAATGGGCCACTGCAATAATTAATGGATCTCTCCAGGAGAGCCCTCAAGGAGACACTCATTAGGCCCATTAGGAAGAAACCAAATTTGGCGGCGGACGAAATTGGCAATTATAGGCCCGTTGCTAATGTTTCCTTCCTCAGCAAAGTGCTTGAGAGGATGGTGGCAGATCAGCTTCAGGCGCTCTTGGACGAAACCAATGCTCTGGACCCATTTCAGTTGGGCTTCAGGCCGCGCTATGGTACAGAGACGGCACTGGTCACACTGTTGGATGACCTGTTGAGGGAGGCCGATGGGGGCAA